TTTTGATTTTATTTTTCTCTGATGGCTAATGATGATGAACATTTTTTCATACGTCTGCTAGCCATTGGTATGTCTTCATTGGAGAAGTGTCTGTTCATGTCTTCTGCCCATTTTTTGACTTTTCCTTTTAAACCATCTGTCACATATGTGTCTGTTTTTTGACTCTTGTCCACAGTCTTTGTTTAAATATTTATTATTGACTTATGTTTATAAAATAGTCAAAGTCAGACCAACACTATCGTTAGTTAGCTAATTAATCAATGAATCAATATAGTCCATATGAAGCATTCACTGAAATGCCTAAAATGTGGTAGGCACAATGCTTGATGACAAGTAAGCAAAGATGAGCAAGATACAGTTTTGCTTGTAATGATCACACAATTTATTCAGAAAGACAGACATACAAAGACTAGAAAGACATATGCAATTTCCTGTGCAAATGCAGAAACCAGGCACATAGAAGGTAAAGGTAGTGCAGATTCCCATGTTATCAACTCTCTTTGGGGTGCTATAAGCAATGCCACCTCATTAAGAGAAGTACTTCAACTGGGTCCTAAAGAAAGGTTGGAGTTTAAAATTGCAAAAAGAAAAAGTAAGAAAGGAAACAGTTTATCTGGACAGAAAAACAGTGTGAGATGTGAGACAGAATGTATGGAGGACTGCAAACTATCATTATTTAGAAAATATTTAAAAGACAATGTGAAACTGAGAATTTCTGAATAAATTGAAAGGTGTTGGCTTAATTCAGGTATTTTAATGTTATTGTATGAACTATGACAAAAATTTTATGGAAATGCTTGCAAGATTATATAGACATTAAAATTTAAAGTATTATTACATTTATGCAATATCAAGAAGGATTTACCTAAAAATAGAACACTGTTGGTGTGGAGGAATTTTGTCTGGCTCCTTTAACAACTTGATAACTATTCCCTGTACAGGCATCACCACAGTGCTGACCATGACCACGCTCAGCACGATTGCCAGAAATTCCTTGCCCCGTGTGTCCTATGTGACTGCCATGGACCTCTTTGTGACAGTTTGCTTCTTATTTGTCTTTGCTGCTCTGATGGAGTATGCCACCCTCAACTACTATTCAAGTTGTAGAAAACCAACTACCACTAAGAAGAAAACATCTGTGAGTTCCAGTAGCAAAGATTTTCTGGAAAAGTAGTGGAAGGAAAGTTTGTAATTAATGATCATTATTCCTTGGATCTTATGCAATGTTCTATAAATAGCTACTTCAACAAGATGTCAAAAAAAACAAGATATTCTGAATATATGAATATGACCCTAATGCACCTCTTTAACTTCACCTACTGGTGACATGGATTGATGTAATCATACCTCAAAGATTGCTCTTAACTAAGGTGATCTATGATGCCGATTTCCACAGAAGTTTCCTAATTTTTTTTCTGTTTTTCTTGTAGTTGTTACATCCAGATTCCTCAAGATGGATTCATGAGCGAATAAGCCTACAAGCCCCCTCCGTATGTATAGCAGTGAAGGTGCAAATATTTCTGAGAACTCTTACTAAACTAAGATTGAATGATATCTTAGCTGTTTTTGTATGTATGTATTGAAGAACAATGAGCAATGTACATAACCCCACAAAAATTTGTATACTTTTTAAATATCCAATTTGGAAAATAAAGGAAAAAAATTAATCATCATCCTTCTACCTAGGGATTAGCATATACATATATATTCCTGTTTTTTAACTCAAAATACATGATGAATAAGTTTCTATCTTATAATATTATTTTATGGGATCATTTCAATGGCTGCATTATATGTTCATGATTGATGCACAGACAATCTTGGCTGGATACTGGGCTAATTCACACCTTCTCACTTTGATACATAACCTTATCACTGCAGTTTTGTATAAACCTGTGACTATTGACTTAATACAAATTCCTAGAAGCAAAATTGCTGGACCAAAAGGGTTGCATGGCTCCATTAGCAGTATGGGACACCCACCACTCAGAACTCTCCCTGTATTAGGTTTGATAGCCAAACAAAAAAATGGCTTCTGTAAACTGTTCCCTTAGCATTTCTTTGATTATTGATAAAGTTGAATATTTTGCTTATTTATTTTTACTTGCATTTCTGTTTTTGTGAATTGCTTTTATGTCTTTTGACTTTTATGAAAAATTTTATATAACTTTTTTAACTTTTTTGTCTTTTAACCTTTTTAAAGTAACGATCTGCCAGTTATTTATACTATATATTATGTATATTGTATTTTATATAACATAAAACTTATATAGTCACATATCAAATAGTTAAGGATATTAATATGTTTTTTATTATATAGTTTTATTTCAGTTTTTATGACAATGTTGTCACTGTCATTTCTTGTGCTTTTTTCCACATGCATTGTTTTAAATCTCCTGTTGCCAAATCTATCAGACTTCCCTTTTGTGGTCTCTGCCTCTTGATCAGAATGATTAATTCCCCCTCACTTTCTTTTGAGCATTTACTCTTTTGGACACTATGTTCTAAGTGTTTTCATGTACCAATTCATTTTATCTTCACAACAACCCATTCTACTGATGAGAAAACTGAAATATGGAGAAATTAAGCTCTATAAATATTGGTTAAGTTTCAACAATTTACAATATTATTATTTTATTTATTAATGCATATGAATTTTTAATATGTGGCTTGAGGTAAGAATCTAACTATTGAAAAACTGAGAAATGTTTTAAAAAATTTGATGTGACCTACCTTCTTATTATGTAACAAAATTTATATGTAACTACTTGCATCCCTTTATACATATCAATTCACTAATTACACTGAATGTTTTATGCACCCCCCCATATGTGGCTTTCTAACTGCTGATCAGTAATTTGTGTTTAGTGCATTTTAACATGCTTTTTCAAGGAGACTACTTAGTTATCTGTACTCTGCAAGTGTATCATTTTAGTTCTGAGAGAAGGTAAGTGGTGAAGCCACTTTTACAGCTGTGGGAAGCCACAGAGAACATACAGATTTGCCAGCAAATGCTCCCAAATAGTAACAGACTGAAAAATAATGGAAAAGGTTTGAAGTGGGGATGTTGTAACAGAGACAAGTCAGAACAAATAGCCGGAGGCCCAGAAAGCACATTTCACACACAGCCTGGGGGTTGGGAGTGGAAGAAGAAATATTGACATCTTTGGTATAGAAAAAATACTGCCAAAATAAAGAATTTTTTACCATAGAGAAAAAAGAAATTTTCACAAAGCTGTAAGAATTGTTTTTGTTTGTTTTTGTTTTTGTTTTGTCTTTTTTTAAGAGGGAAAGTGTGATGACCTTGAATAAAGTACATAGAAATACAATTCACAGAGAAAGGGTTCTAGGCCAGGTGAAAAGACACAGAGAGATCTTCAACAGAAGTTCATAAAGCAGCCGAATAAAAAGGGAGTTTTCCAAGGTTGGATGATAATTGTCCATGTCTTCAATGCGATTCTGAAAGATCCACAGGGATAGTCTAGTTAAAGGGCCGTTCCCACCAACATCCATAGAGATGGGCAGCCTCTGAGCAATGAGGGACAGGAGCCAGGCCTCACTAACAATCATGTGTGCACTTTGGGACAAGCTGTCTGAACATCTCTGTGCCTCAGTTTCCTAACCTGTAAAATGCAAGGCTAACCATTCCATATGTACATGCCACCCAGGAAACATAACATTTCTGGGGAAGTCATAGGAATGCACTGTACATGTAGGCAAAGCAGGAGTGAGTCAGGTCCCGCTTGGCTGCAGATGACCTTGAGGACTCATTAATTAAATTCCCCATTTTGAACACAGTTTGAAACTTTTATGACAAACGAGAGGTATGCATTTAAAAAAGTATTGAAACAATTTAACATATGGCTTTTTAGGGCTCTTAGCATCTAAGTTTTATTGCAATATTATAAAATGCAATTAGTTTTATTTCAAAACAGTGAACTATAAAGATATAAATAGAACTCTCTTAATTATTAGATCAGGCTCGTATACATTTCAACAATCATGAGTTTTTAGTTTGCTAAATGAAGAAGGGAAATAGGGGTTTCTCTTGCCCCCAGAAATCTTGCTGCTTATTTGCCTACAGCTCCTCTTGTCACCCTTTAGATCTCTAGGGAGCTTCTCCCACCCCCTCAGAAACTTCTGATGCCTTTTCTGCATCAACATATTCCTTTAGGCCTGTCCTGCCAATAATGGCCAGCTTCTCATCTCTGTGTCACTACACAGCACAAAGTGTTGAAGAAACGAAAAATGACTATTTGATTGAACACTGTCCAAACATACATGCAATTACTATTTAATAAAGGCAGATTTTTCCAACTGAACCTTGCCAAAAAGATGCAGATTCCTCAAAAGCAGTGGACTACTTTTTTTTTTTTTTTTCAGCAACCACCTCCCACCCCAGTGATTTTTATACCCACTCAGAGTTAAGAATCATTAACCTAGAATGTGTCCACAGTAGAGCCTATAGAACAACAGAGTTTTTGTTTCTGTTCATTGCCTGGAGTTGTGGAGGAAGGTAGAAGGCTGCACCAAGACACTCCTGACTGGCCCTTGGTATGTGTGGCATACAATTATTATCAATTTAATACATAATTCATAGCTATTTGGAAGAATTCAAACAAGTGTCTGAGAAATTGACAAGTCTATTTAAAGCCACTTTCTCTTATTTATGAATGAACATAAGTCATCTCCTCTCCATTGACTTTTCCACATCAGGAGGAAAGCCTGGGAAGCAGAAAATAAAACATTCCAATTGTACACACTTTTGGCTGTGACTCTTGATATGATAAGTGGTGTCTGACCACCACACACTGAAAGCTAATTTTTTTAATGTAAATTACATGGAACAAGAAGATTCTCTCATCATTCTTATTTAGCATATATAGCATATATATAGCATAACATTTTACTATTTACTAGTTAGGAAATAACAAATTTATCTCTCCACATTTGAAGTGTCCTGCTTAACATTTAAGGGATTATATGCAATATGTACATATTTACTCTCAATCAATTGAAAAGTAGCCAGAACAGAGACTTGAAATGGTTAATACATATCTGAAAATGTTCTCAACCTCCCTCATCAATAATCTGAGTTATGCAAGTTTTGAAAACTTCACCGTACTTTTTTGCATTAAATTTGCAAATATCAAATTGGCAGACTGAACTCTCAAAGATCAAACTGTCCAGTACAAGGATGTGTGGGAAGGAGCATGACATTATTCTCTTTATCTAAAGGACAGACATCTATTGCTTGATTCATCTCAGGTTGTTCTTATTGCATTTCATGATGATTTTTGTGTTGTTCTTGTTGCCTACAGAACTATTCTCTCCTCGACATGAGGCCACCACCACCTGCAATGATCACTTTAAACAATTCTGTCTACTGGCAGGAATTTGAAGATACCTGTGTCTATGAGTGTCTGGATGGCAAAGACTGTCAGAGCTTCTTCTGCTGCTATGAAGAATGCAAATCAGGATCTTGGAGGAAAGGGCGTATCCACATAGACATCTTGGAGCTGGACTCATATTCCCGGGTCTTTTTCCCCACATCGTTCCTGCTCTTCAACTTGGTCTATTGGGTTGGATACCTGTATCTCTAAATGTTGCTGTAGTGATGAGTGAAGAGCACTAGGTTTCCCTCTTTACCTTTCACCCTCCCCAGACCAGTAGTGACCAACTGGAGTAAGAAGGAAGGACACTGCTCAGTTTATCTGAAATTATACATTACCTATGAGCAGTACAGGAGTACGTGGCAAATATTTCTATTATGTATTTCACACTCACACACATGCGTGCTCACACACACACACACACACACACACACACATTAATTGAGTTTTAAAGTGATATTCTTGCTAATCCCTTATTGAATCTGTAGTGTGGTGATGTTTATGAAGGGTTTCAGATATTGGAAGCAATTATCGTTGCCAAGAAATCTGTAAAAGATGAAAACAAATATCCAAGAAGCTCTCTCTTGGGCCAAGACTCCTCTTCTATAACTTTCCTTTGCAGCCCTTGGAGGTACCAGTGCCCACACTTGTGGAGTCACTGCTTGCTGGGACACGCTCATGCTTGACCTCAGCCCCACATTCCCAGGCAGTCTGAGTTCAAGTGTTAATTGCAGTGAGTTTTGACCCAGTTTCCTCTCCTGTGGCTTCATTTACTCTGGTACCATCATTGTTACCTAGCATTCCTTTATCAAATAATATCACCCTAGGCTTGGCAAGGGTGTATTTGCATCATCCACAAGTTTCTAGTTGAGAAAAAAATATGATTTTCAAAACTCTCATGTTGCCGAATTCAATGATGTTGATTGTCTCTGAACATCAGTTACTTCTTTATTCCAAACTACTGAGAATCAGCAGTACATTTAACTTTGGGTTCTGGGACTAGTTCAGCTGGAGTTCAACATTTTACCTTATTTGGGTCTTACTAGACCAAAAAACAACCCCAGAGTATGGGTTTTGCTTATGTTATGCTATTACAGGGTCAGTGATTAACTTCATCTTGCAAAGACAGATATAATACCATTTACAAGAATGTCTTGAAAATGTTTTCCAGAGTGTGAAAGAAATGTAGATAGAATTTAGAAATATTTTAGGGAATATTAACTTTCAAGTCAAATCAACCTTAGTTGCAAAAACAAGGGCAATGGCTATCATCAATGATATATTTTGATGAGCAAAAATTATTTTATACTTTGAAATATGAATATGTAGCAAGATCCCAAAGAAAAAAAATGCCCTGCAATTATTACTCTTTTGATATTTTTATAATACAAAACTAACTTGCTTCTTGATGTTAGTTCTTTGTTATAACTGGATGCCAGTATGTACTTCAAAAGATTCTTCAGAAGTTTCCCACCATTTGTAGGAAAAAAGTCCCACCAGTTCATCAAAAATGCTTTGGCATTATTAAAATTTTGGTACTAAAATTTTGGTACCAGTAGCTCTGTGCTTCTCACTTTTCTCACCCAGAAAACTGAATTAATTTTATTGGAAACCATAAAATTTTATTTTAATTATCTATTATAAATATAATTATTACTCAGCAAAAAAGGTAAAAAATATACAGAGAGAATATATAAAAGTACTGATTTCACACAATTTACTGGATGCAGACCAGATAGAGAGGCTAGAAAAGTAAAATTAGATGAATCTGTTTATTTTATGAACATCATTCATATCAAGTGAATGCAAATATATTGGGATACAATCACCCAGTTTTCAAGGACTGAGTCCATATATAGTGTGAGATATTCAAGCCCATTGCTTTTCTTCTTGTCAACTCCCTGCCTTTTGATTTGATAATTGCTACATAGGCCACAAGCCAATTGGGTTCTAGCTAGCAAATTCAGCTTAAAACATAAAATAACAATAAATACTCGTGGAGAAATAGGTTGAACCTATTGGCTTAATAAAATTTCTACTCTACTGGAGAATTTCACCTTCTAGCATCCTTGTTCTGTCTCTTATGCATAAACCACCCTCCCACACCCAGCAGTGATGGTCTGGAGGCACTATGACCAAAGGAATTGCTCCATGTCCTACCAAAGCACTGAGAACCCATGGAAGGTGGCCCAAGGTCAGTCTTCTTCAAACATAATTTTCAACTTTATGAATTTATAATATCTAAATATGATATGAATTTATAAATCTAAACATGAAGGATTTTAACCTGTTATGTCTTTTAAAAAGTTCTGGAGGGAAATGAATTTTCTAGTGAAATTATTCTGGAAGAAAAATAACCCAAGAACACTTTTATAACATAAGTTTGGTCCAATTTACCTTAAAAATTTTATTAATGCTTCTTATTTCAAAGCCACTCAATATTCGGCTATCATTGGCAACTCTTACATATATATAAAATATACCAATGACCTGTTTTCTGAATCCAACCATTCCTTTCTCCCTGACCTCAGTCATTCTGCTGATCTAAACATACTAGTTTATCATTCATTTTCCATGAAGGGAAACTTTCATCTCAAGAGAGTCTAATAGATGTTCACTCACAAGGTGTAAAATACATTCCTGCACAGACAGCAATCTACCCACAATAGGTTCTGACTAAAAAGAACTCAAACATCCCCTTAGAACACATTAATGTCAGTTTCTCTGCAAGATTCCCTGTTCAAGTTCTCTTTATCAATTTCAACTCCTGAAATGAGCCTTCAGTCCACAATACAGGAGGGTGGCATGTACCTCATGCAGATGCAGAACTTAGGGACTTGCCTATTAAGTATGTATGAGTTTACCTTTTGGAGGAAGGAAGAGGAGAGGCATAAGAAGAATGTGAGGGAAACGTATCACTCTTAAATTGAAGAATTCTCCTTCACCAGTATGCTTGGTTAGTAGGGTTTGTGTGAGGTGTACAGATGTAAGACTGTTCTGCACAGACCCAGCACACTTACAGCTCTGCCCAGCTTGCTTTGCATTTAGACTTGTGAAATGTTTTTGTGTTTTTGTGCAGCTGGTGGGGAAGTTGTCTGAGTGAGTGGTATTCTAAAGGTGCTACTGTGTTCCTTACTTTCAGAAATACTGTAAACTGGAGAAATGAGAGTTCTGTATTTTGAAAAGGATTTCTAATTTCTTACCACTGTGGATCATACTTACAACTGTGACTGTCTCTCCTTTAAGCTGCATCCAGGCTGAGAGGTAATGAGAAGGCATTTCACATAAATGGAATTAGATAAAAATGCCTCTTCAGAGCCTAGAAAATACAGTTTGTACAAAGTCTTAACACCAATGATCAGAGGAGAGAGATTCTCAGGTACTGAACAGAGAAGGAAAGTGTTATTATAATTTACTCTGGACCCAGCCAATACTGCCCCCAATTTGCCCAACATATGCCTTACAATAACACATAAAGCTTAAATCATACACATCTTATCACTTTTTTCCATTTCCTGTGATTACATATATTTCATGCCAGGTTTTTTTTTTATTGTTTATGAATGGATAGAGACAAGACTTTCATTTTTTATGTGCCAAGCAGTCTTATCCTTACTTGCATATCAGATCTGTCAAGAACACAGTTTTTGTGGCTTCAGTTGGAAAAATGCTTGTCCTCCATGGCAAAGTATTTTCAGGCTACATAAGGGAAATAGAGCCAATCTAAAAGTCAGTGACATAATGCATATGATGGGATATGAGTGTCCACATAGAACCTTCACACCAAGTCTTTTTACCTGGCCATAGCTTGCTGCAGTAAAAGTGTCTAGACATATTTTTTGCTGCTCTGCAAAATATCACACTCTGCAAGCAAAGGTGGGTAATTGACAACCCCACTTTGCATTAAAAATACTTGCTACAACTAGGAAGCAATGGGGCACTCTTTACCTAAAGGGCTAGAAAATAACACAAACAAAACTTCTTATTCCTTAATCATTTTTATCTCAGATACCGATAACCGAGAACTTTCTGTGATTTACTTTGCAAACTTGAAGAATTATAACTGGTTTCCAACTATTAAACTTCTCACTATATGAGATCAATGTTCTTGAGACACAAAGCACTCTGAAATCTCTCCATAATCTTCCAATTGTCTGCTTGTTCTCAGTTTATGAACTATATACATATGAAGTTTTATTCTCGATTTCTGTAAAAAAGAAAAGTTAGTGAATGACTTGGGACAAATATAGGTATAAATATACAATGAAATGTTTATGATTAGTATTGGGCTTCAGAACACTATTGTGTTAAAAATATTTAAAATATTCAGAAAGGGGTCTGGAAATAAGGAAGGGAAACAATCTGCAAATACACTGTCATTGTGAAATTAACAATTTTCTCTTGAGTCCCCTTCAAATTGTCCCAAATTGAGGAGGCGTGCAATCTGTACATGTTTCTTTCTCTCAAATTTGCCTGTAGGAAACCTTTAGGTTCACATGGTTTAGAAGTACCTCCACATTGTATAATAACATCCAAAGAACCAAAAAAGAACAGTTTGGGCTAAGTGACAAATCCCTTCTTATATTCATTCTTGACTTACTTTTTACTTAAAAATAAATTTCTATCATTATAAGGAGAAAACATGTATATGGTAAGATAAGAGGATAACAACCTAGCCATTCATATCTCCGGGAGAATAAAAACTTGGCTTTTTTTAAGTGTCTGATAGTCTTTAAGACTAAAGACAAGAGCATTTTGACTCCTCCTTTTAAAATTTCTTCTGATTACAAGTTCCAGGGTATAAGCCTGATCTAGTCCTAGTAAAGTCAAAAGAAAGAATGTTCCCTACCATTTTTTTTTTCAAAATGCCCTTTAGTTAAATGATGCTTTGGTTTTTAATGTTGTCAATAAAATACCTTAAGCCTCTTATTACTCTGCTCACATAAAAAACAAATTTTAGACTAGTTTAAATCAGTGCTAAAATTAGTTGAACAGTCATTAACAAGTTTTCGATGTTTTAAGCTATCCAAGTAGGATTTCAGATAGTTTAACATAGGAATACAAGCTAGAAAATTAGGAAGACAAAACACACAGAAGTGCGCGCATGCACACACACACACACACATGCACACACGCTCATACACACTCCCATACACACACATACACATACACAAAGCAAACACTGCTTGAATGCAACATGCAGGTAATTGAAGGAAATATAAATTGTTGTACTTGAATTATTCAGATAATGACCTACTTTCACCACTTCACTTTTCAAATTTGTAACCACAACACAGTTTTCCCAGCCCAGTGGACCAGCTCCACAAAGTGAGGGTGATAATGGTTCCTGCAGGGAAGGAAGGTCCTTTACGTCTGTTGAAAAGTTTAAACTCAACAGATTGGAAAGAATAGTGAAGATTGATTG